GTGATGAATTTCTCCTCTCTTGCTGCTTTCACATTGTCTCATTGTCTTTGGCTTTTGAAGGTTTGATTATGATGTGTCTTTGTGTAGATCTATTTACATTTATCCTACTTGAAGTTTGTTCAGCTTTTTAGATGTGTAGATTAATGCTTTTCATCAAATTTGGGGATTTTTAGGCCATTATATATGCAAATATTCCTTCATCATCTTTCTCTTCTATCTCTCTGGGACTCCCATTCTGTGTATGTTGGTACAATTTTTGGTGACCTGTAAGTCTCAAATTTCTGTTCTTCTTCTTCTTTTTTTTTCTTTTCTTTTTTTCCCCTTCTATTCCTCAGACTGAATCATTTCAATAGACGTATCTTCAGGTTTCCTGATTCTTTCCCCTGCTTACTCAAATTTGATGTTGAACTCCTCTAGGAAATTTTTCATTTCTGTTGTACTTTTCAACTTCAGGATTTCTACTTGGTTGTTTTTAATAACTCCTATATATTTATTAATAATTCTATTTAGAGACACACCATTCTCATACTTTCCTTTAGTTCTTTAGATATGACTTCATTTAGTTTTTAAACATATTTAAAATACATTAATTTAACATCTTTGTCTAGAAGTCCATCTGGGCTTCTGCAAGGATAGTTTATATTGACTTTTTTTTTCCACTGTGTATATGTCCTACATTCTTGTTTCTTTTCATGTCTAAAAATTTTTTGTTGGCATCTGGACATTTTAAATAATACAATGTGGCAACTCTGAAAATCAGATTCTCCCCTCCCCCCAAGGTTTGTTGTTTCTTTTTTGTTTGTTTAGTGATCTTTCTGAACTAGTTCTATGACGTCTGCATTTTTGTTATGCGTGACCACTGAAAACTCTTCTCAGTTAGGTTAGTTGTTAAATAGTGATTGGACAAAGATTTCCTTAGATGCCTGGAACCAATAAGTCTCCCAGTCTTTGCCAAAGGGCTCTGTGTGCTTTGGAGCATACCTTCAACTTCAGCTGGTGTTTACAATTCTACCTTAGCCTGTGCATTCTTGGGCCTGGGGGGAAACTTCAAGACCATCACAACTGACTCTAGGCCATTTTAAAAGCTGTCTTTTGCTGGGCCCCACTACAGGTACCTGGTCCCCTGACAAGCACTTAGACTATAGTAGGTCTATGAAACAGCAAAAGAAAACCTCAGCAAATGGTTTACTTATAAAGTGGCATATGATTCCAGAGTCTAAGATCTTAACTCCAAGGATCAATTTTCATTGAATCCTTTCCATGGAATCCTTGGACAGGGAACTCATTACCTTCCAGGGCAACTCATTCCTCCTTCCCGCCCCTCTGCTTGCCAGAAAAACAGCCCAGCACAGGGGAACAAGAGGAGTCTTCAGAAGTTTACCTCTTTCATTACCCCCCCCTTCTGACCTGCATGATTTTGCCAAGTCACTTCCTCTCTCTGAACCCGTTTCTTCATCTAAGAAACAGAGAAAAGCATGCCTGGTTGGCAAGGCTGTCAGAGGTTTGATGACGTAAAGCCATCAGGCACACTCAGTAGAACAATTCAACAATAGCAGCTATTATTGGGTTCTTCCTTTAAGGAACTGAAGTCTGTCTTGGCAGTTTCCACCCATTGTCCCTAATTCTGTTCCTTCGGCCCAAATTCCCCAATCGGTACTTTCAGATCTTTCATACAACCATTGCATTGCCCCTTTTTATTTATGCTAAACCACTCTTCTCCCTGAACAGCTCCCCAAACACATGACTTCCTTCACCACCATATTTCCTCTCCTCTAGGGGTAAGACCTGTTCCCCCCACCACCCACAGCGTGAGAAGGTCAGCAAGCTGCTCTGACCAGCAGAGAGAAAAAAGGGCATCTCTTACTGCCTCATTTCAAAGCTTGTACCTCTTGTAATGAAGCCCAAGGGCACGTTTTCTGTTAGCTATGCCATACTGTGGGACGACCCAGGACTATCCAGAGCCTCCTATTTGCACCTAAATTTGTGGATCACAAAGCCAATATCTTTCCCAAACCTTTTATTTACTTTTTTTTAAAACTGATGCCTGTGTCTTTTTTAAATGCATTTTTTAAAATGCATCTTGTTGGAGTCAGCACATGTCCCAGACAGCTGAGGCCCTGATGGTCATATCCATCTTAAAGCAAAGCCGTCTTAAAGCAAAGCATCAGCTATAATGAAAATAAATCCTACTACATCAGCTGATTTCCTCCCATCTCCCCATGCTCTTCTACCCACCAACTGCAAATGTCCTAGGTATATGAGCACCTGAGGCCATTTCAACAAGAAACAAGACTGCGGCCTGGGAGATGCTGAAATTAAGTCCCTGAGTATTTATGGGACACCTGATGTGAAGCAGGCATTTGCAGACCCCATACCTTATGTGACCTTCCCAACAGTCCTCTGCAGAGATCGTCATAAACCCATTTATAGATGAGAGTCAGTGAGGTCGAATGATTCATGCAAAATCATGCTGCTAGTTGCTATAGGGATGGGCCACAACTCTGGGTTTCTCTGACCTGGTGCCTATATTCTCTTCTTTATATTGTCCATGTTCCCCATTGTGCTAATAGAGTCTGAGTAGTTTTCAAATTTCAAAGTGCATAGAAATCACCTGGAAAAACTGCTTTTTTTAAAAAAAAGATCCATCCTCACTCCCCAAATTTTGATTCACTAGGTCCAGGGTGAGGCTTGGACACCTTGATGAAGGACTAGTGGTTTACACACAGCTGCCTTTCCTGCCACCCAAGGTACTGGGCTCCAAAAGTCAACTCTCAAGCATTGCCCTGTGGGTCAAATCTACTTTGGCTTCTTTCCTGGCCAAGCCAGCACAAATAATGGCAGCAAGCCTCTTCTGGAAGTGAGAAGGAGACAGTTGGAGCCGTCCTCAGCCTCTGCCTCTTGCTGTTCCCATGGAATTTTTCAGCCTGGACACTAAACATTGCCTCCTTCTATGACCTTTGATTAGCTTTCCAGATCTGGCCGGAGGAAGCGGGAAACCCCAGGCATGGATGTTGCAATGGCAGATTATTTAACACAACTGGAGTGCTCTCTGTATCATGAATTCCCCCACCGTAGAAATGAGACATTCCTGGGCTGCCTGCCAGGTCTCATCCACAGCCAGGAGCGTTTACAAAGAGAAACAAATGGCTTTTTGCCCACCCACTGTGGCTCATCATGGTTGCTTCCTCCCTGCTGAAACCAGATGGGGCATCTAATGTTAGCCTTTAAAGATGCTTACCTCACGGATCTTGTAGACTTCCCTATCTTCACCTGCCATTCATGAAGGCCTGTTCCTTAAAGGCACCCCTCTTGGTCACAAGATAAAAAGAGAAAACTGCTTCTTCCTTCCTTTTCTGTATGTGAGTAATGATTGAATCTTTCTCGTGGTTAATATATGTGGTGACAGGGTTTCTGCAGAAAAAATCTAAATTTAATAAGAAGTTCATTGGTTCTCTGTCTGCATTTTGTTCTGTGGCAGAGAGACTGGGCTAAAGGCTCTATGTGACTTTACACAAGTTACCTAAGCCCTCTGAGGTCCAGTTCCTTTATAATGAAATAGGGATAACAATCCTAACTGCCTCTTGGTTTTTAAGCACCTGAATGAACAAGGAGTGCAAAGGACCCAGCAAAATCGCAGACACATAGTAGGGGCTCTGTGTCCCTGTGTATGTTGTCATCACTTTCCGCATCTTGCTACCCACAATGTGGTCCTCAAAGAAGTAGCATCTGCCTCACTTGAGACCTTGTTGGAAAGACAGGATCTCATGCCCCATCCCAGACCTATCCGATCAGAATCTGCATCTTGACAGGTTTCCTGGGTAGGCACACGTACATTACCGTGTGGAAGAAGTAGTTAGCTCACTATCCGACAGGGCGGAGAGGCTGGGAATGGGTATGGCAATGGCTCTCTAACCAATTTTTCATCTTTTTGTACTGCTCACCCTCCCTGCCACACTGTGTCAAAATATATTCCATCTCCCCGTGGGAGAGATCTTCCTTCAGAAGAACTCTGGCCTCCTCAGCCTTCATGTGGTCATGGTTCCCTGTTGCTTAGTGGATAAAAGACCAACTTCTTGGCGTGGCATTCAAGTCCCTCCTCAATCTGGACCAATCCCACCTTTCCAGCAACGGAACCTGCAGATGTTGAGCTCTAGCCACCTTAGGCAATGTCTGTCATTTCTGAAAGGCAGACTTCACTTAGAGGCCTCGGCTCCTAATTCCAGAAATGATCCCCCATCCCCATGGGGTACTGTCATTTCATTACCTTCACCCACTTACTCAAGCCCCAGTTCCTAGAATGCTCATCTCTGTCTCCAAAACCCTACTCCATCTTCAAGGCTCAGGTCCATTTTAATTGTCAGAATATGTACAGATCAAGGTCATAATGGATGAGCATCTGACAGTGAAGAATTTGGGTTCTTTATTGGCCCACCGACAGCTACTTAAATCCCTTTGGGAAAGTCACCTGAACTTTTGAGCCTTGGGTACCCCTATCAACCTTATCTGGGTAGAGGAGATAATGAAGGAGCCAAGCTCAGAGAATTGTTATGAGGATTCTTTGGGGGGACTACTGTGCCTAGCCCAGTGACTGCCACATAGTAAATGCTCAAAGGAACTTAAGCAAACTCATTACAGTGGAAACCCACTTCAGCGTAAATTCCATAGAGATGTGCCTACGTGTGGTTTGTTCACCATTGTAATCCTCGTACCTGGCCCAGTTTCTGACACACAATATATGTTCAATAAATATTTGCATAAATAAATAAATAAATAAATAAATAATTGTAAAACTCTGTAAAAATAAAAGGTTGCTATTTTGTTTGTTTTTATTGTAGTTATCAGAATGTAGATAACTTGAGAGAGACAGAGATCCTACATTTATTATTATTGTAATTGCTGACTTATGCTGTCTTCCAGCCCCATGGGAGTGGGCTACGACTTCTTCACACACAATCCAAAGGATATATACTGTGGGGTTTCCCCTCCATTATTTCAACGTCTTGTCCAATCTGTTTTCAATCTTTTATCGGTGTAACTTATCTGTACCACCCCATAATAACTATTTAGAGCCACAATCTTCTCTAGAGCCCTGGCATCACCAGTTAGGATGCAAAAGTTTCAACACTCAGTCCATGTCCAACTTTTCTAGGGGCCCATGTCTGTCCTTGATCATCCCTCAACCTCAAAACCAGAAGAGATACCTTTTCTAAGAAATAATAAAAGAAGGGTCTCATCAAGATATAGACCAAACACCTGGGTGAGAGACATAGGGAACGATAGCTCCAAAATGGTGCTCTCAATTGGAAGGTCAAGGACAGCCCAATAGGTCTGTGAGGTTATGCAAATCACAACTTTCCAGCATGATTGTCACCATCTGCTCTCTTCCAGGCCATCTGTGCTGACCCCACCCCTAACACTCCACTCTTACTGTGTCTTCCTCAAATGCAGGGACTCAGGCTAAAGAGGCCAGAGTTGATCTCACTTTGTGTGCACATCTGGTCAAATGGTGGAATCGCCTGAAGGTCTTGTGAAATTGTAGATTCTGAGTCAGTAGATCATAGGTGGGGCCTGAGATTCTGCATTTCTAGTAACTCCAGGTGATGAAAAGATTGTTGGTCTGTGGATAACACTTTGAATTAGAAGGATCTACTCCATTCCTGGACTATGGATTTCATTGTTCTCCTAGAACCTTAGAAGCCCAGCCCTCTGCTAAATCCTTTTTTTTTTTAAGTATTTAAAAAAAAATTCATATAATTTTGTCTGTCAATTATACCTAAATAGAACTGGGAGAAAATGATTTAGAAAATACATCTGAAGTATGGAAATTTTCTTCTGTAGATTACATAATGCAAATTAATCATTGATAAATTAATAGATATGGAGTATTTTACATCTGAAATAAGAGATGAGTTCTAATTATAATGTACATTGAATATTTACTGTCTTGGTTTTTGAGATTGCTTAGTCCCTCTCATAGGAATATAAGTTCTCCTATGTCAAACACAGCTTATGCAGTATTTTGTTTGTTATTCTGAAACCCCTTTTCTCTTTTTATGCTATTTTGCTACTAATATTGCCTGCATGATCTAAGAGATCTTCCTTCAGATAGCAATCAGGATGGATGATGGTTGGTTATCTGTCAGCAAAGTTGATGGTGGTGTATAAAGTAACAGCAAACATTTACTGAGTATTTCCTAGGGGTCAGGCACAATGCTAAGTGCTTCATAAAATGTTACTTCATTTAATCCTCAAAATAACCTCATGGAGATACTGTTATCAATTTCCACTGTAAAAATAAGAAAATGAAGGTCAAGAAAAGTGAAGTAGACTTTCTCCTATTCCCCAGGGCTAGTAAGCTGTAGCGTGAGAGTTTGAACCTGGATCTGCATGGCTCCAAAGCTCAGAGTGTTGACAGCTACAAAACATTAAAAAGTAAAAGAAAGTCAGAAACTACAAAAACTATTGTTAATTTTAAAAAAGCACAAGAAATTCAGACATTCTTTGGATATCTGCCCAATTAACAGTCCCTTTTAAGAAATATTATGTTAAAATTAAAAATTCACTTAAAATAATCCCGTTTCCTTTGTGAACAGATGGCCAGAATTATATCCATGAAACTTTTTTTTTTTTTTTGTATTTTGGAAAAGTAACATGTAATCATTGCTTCCAAAAATTGCTCACATGCTGCATTGAACCAATTTAGCAACATAACAAAACAGCCAAGACGATCTGATCTGGCTCCTATGAGCCAAATTAATCCTTCCCATATTTGTTTATTTGGGTCTAGAACCTTGATTATTTGTTTATTTTTCATTCTGGCACTTTCTAGTAAAATAAGTATAATCTTCTCATTAGTTTAAAGTAGACTAAACCTTCTTTCATAAATATGTTGAATTGTGATCAAAGCATTCACCAAATTAAAAAAAAAAACCTTTAAACATTGGTCATTTGGAAAGTATTGTTTTATGGAGTTATGCAGACATTCCAAATGTTGACAGATTTTATTACATAGTGTCAAAAACTAGATTCACTAATCTCACCACCAATCTCATCATCAAAATCTTTAAGTATTGGGAAACTATCAAGCTCACAGTGGTGGATACAAGTTTGTAAAAATTCTAAGTTTAACTATAATTTTTCCCGTTTTACTGAGCGACAACTGACATATAATCTTGTAGTGGTTTAAGGTGTAAGCATAAGGATCTGATATGTGTGTGTATCACAAAATAATTGCCACAGTGAGTCTACTCAACATGCATCACCTCACATAGTTACACTTTCTTTTTCCTGGGATGAGAACTTGTAATATCTACTCTCTTAGCAACTTTGAAACATACAATACAGTATGTTAACAATAGCGTCCATGTGGTCCATTACAACCCCATAAGGTATTCATGTTATAACTGAAAGTTAGTAACCCTTCGACCACCCTCTGCTAAATACTTGTAACATTTATTATACACCTACTGCATGGCAGGTTACATAATAGGCACTTCACCTGACTTATTTGATGTAATGTGTTCATATTCCCACTTTATAGATGAAGAACGCAAGTCCCAGAGAGATGTATGGAGTCTTTCAGTCCCTGAGATGTGGAATTGTGGGCTCGAGCTGCAGCTGGGGAGTTATGGTGCCAACAAGAACCACCGTCCTGAAAACACTAGATCACTCTGGACGTTTGCATTGTGCATTTACATTTCTGCCACTGTGAGCCAGTCTCCACGATCTGAAAGTGGATTAGCACCCACTTGCTATTACCCACACAGGTGTCTGTGGATAGGTGTTTCTCAAGAAAATGGGCCCCACGTCATCTTTGTTAGAGTTGCCAAGGATGCTTGTAATAAATAATATGTATGTCCCCATCCCAGATAATGGCTGAGACTCGCTAAGTTTCCTTTCCCTTCTGGGCATTAGACTCTATTTCCCCGGGGCCACGGCATGGAACCATGGAACTAGTTCTCACGAATGGGAGGTGAATGGAAGTAACATGGTCAACTCTTTGCTGCAACAATTCAGAGCAGGTGTGTCTTCTCCACACCCCCACTTCATTCTCTTATTTGTGGACTCTGAGGCTACAAGGAATGGTAGAGCCCCAGATGGGGGAGTCTGGGGTCCCGGAATAACCATGAGAAATAAAGAACCCCACCCCCACCGACCCATACTGGATTGTGGCTTGAAAAATGAATCATGATTTTGTTCAGCCATTGAAACTGTGGGACAGCTGGTGCACAATCTGCCTTCCCTGATGCATGTATCTAATGGATCTTGATAGGAAGAGTCCAGAAATCTGCATTTTAAGAAAGACTTCAGGTCATTCTGAAAAACCGGAATTTCATGAAAGGGGTCAGGCCTGGGGCACAGGATGGCAATGCATCCATGTAGCCCAGAGAGTTGTGTAAAAGACAGTGATAGCAGTAATGTTTTCTGCCACACATTGTCCTCCAGTCAACCGCCTTTCTCATTCCTTCCTGTCGCATGGAACATTGAAGTCTAAGCACACCCCTTATAGACTCTCACAGTACCGTGTCCTTTCTTGCAGATAGATAAGTTAATTTCTGGAATGTGAGCTCGACCTCAGAGCACTCTGATGAGTTGGCTGAAAACAAAAGTCACAGATCAGAGCCTGCGTGCACACCAGGTATTTTATCAATCAAAAGAGCAAAACTTGAGGATGATTCATCTTTATTTTCATATCCATCATCGTATCTGTCATTCCAAGTCAGAGACCAAGGCCCGGGGCAGTGTGAAGGTTGTGGTTAAGTGAAAGCAAATAACATACCCATTTTAGGACATGGGAAAGTTTGTGTGGGTCTGGAAATTTCTCTCAACTGCCAGCCAAGCTTGAAAGCAGGTACCTGGCAACCCAAAGACCGGGTCTCCTAGTGATTCTTGTTTCCATGTTTTCTTCGGGACTCTAGCGGCATAGTAGTATGGTGGCTCTTTCCACCTCCAATACACACATGTACAGAACACTCACATCGAAACCCAGTGGAGAGGGTTCCCTTCCCTCTGCTCTTGCCAGGTGTGGGTACTGGCTGAGTTGGGAACTGGTGGGGAGAACAGTTACTGTTGAGAAGAAATTAATCCTCCTCATCGCCATCATGGTGCAGAATGGTCTCCTCTGTTCACCATCCACCGTTCTCTTAGTTACTGGTGAACGGCCCTTCTCCAGAACTGTCTGAGACTCTATCAGGCTCTGGCAGGGAGAGGACAGGGGCTGGGAGAGAGATGGTCCCTGTCCAGCTCTGAGATCACAGCATCAGACAGCTGGTACACACCACAGGCCAGACAGCCGCAAGGTGGCCTTACAAACAAGAAGAGAAGACAAGAGAAATTGGGAAATTCTGCTGTAGTTGGTGCTCCAGACTAGAAGAAATTGGCCTCTGCCCTTTCTGAAGTCCAGCTGACTTCTTTTTTTTCCCTTCAACCACTTTATTGGAAAATTCTTCGTTTTTTAACATCATGGTTCTTTTCTTGTGCAGGCAGCTGATGAGGTCTAGGGGTGCTGCCAGGCCTGCGGAGGCAACCACAGTCACCACTGTCTTAAAGGTAATGTTTCCGGCAGCCCATGTTCTTTCTAGTTCACAACATCTCTGAGGGAAGAGCCATTTGACAACAGGAGGATGGGTCCAGGGAGACTTATCATATTGTCTTCGTCAGTGGGCTTCAGCTCAAGAAGATTGATCACCCCCTTCCTGATTCACACACACACACACACACACACACACACACACACACCTGTCCCGACCGCTTACCTGTTTCTAGCTGGGGTATGGTGGTCCCCTGAAGCCTTCTTGGCTCAACAGAAAAGAACTAGATCCCAAAGTAAACCCCTCTTATATCGCAAAGTCTGTATCCAGGCTCTGAAAATTCAAAACTGAAGTTTTCCTCCTTTGGCAAATCTGGACGCTGGGTGCTATAAAACTCTCATTGCAGTAGGTATAATGTTGGGATATGCCAAGTTGTTTGGGGGTCCACAGACCCTGAGGATCTTGAGAGCAGGGAGTTTTCCTTGTTCCTCACCATAACGGTAAGAGCATAATACACATTCAAATAAATTAAGGAAGGAAGGAAGGAATGTCAAGTGTTCAATTTTCTACATGCAGTTTGTAAAACCCAGCTTGATCAAAAAAGAACTATCTCCAAGAGATGAGAAGATGCAGTAACTAAACTTCTTGGCTCTAGAACGCCCCAAACCCCAACTTTGACTCAATACATGAATCATTAGTGTAAAAAGAGGTTACGTCCTACAGACCCAATGATCTGGTTTGAGGTTAAATTCACTCCTGTGACCTGACTCTTCTAAGTAGTTTCAGGCATCGGGACCTAAGTAAACCAAGCCACACCCAGTGACTTGGAGGCATGGAAAAACTAATGGTGGCACGCATTGTATTAAAGGCTGCTATATATAGTTTTAGTACTTGCATTACCAAATCACGAAGAAAAAAAGAAAAACCAAAACGTAGGATTTGAAGTGAAGCCGCATTTCTGAGGCTGGGTGGTAACCACCAAAACATGAGACAGGGAACTCTACACTTGTTCTCCCAATGATACAGTCCATTTCCTTTACCTGCTCAAGTCTCTGCCTCCAATACTGAGTAGACTGAAAGACTTACTCCTGATGCCTCGGTGGTTTGAGGTATCTGTCACCAAAATGGAATGGACAGTCGGCTCTGTAGGAGGCTCTGGTGAGGGGATCAGTGTGCAGAACATCTTGGGAGGAAGAGTGCAGAAGGGGACAGAACTATGGATTTGTAGCCAAGCGGTCTTGGAAGTATACCTCGGTATGTCACATGTTAGCCTGATCACCTCGGGCAAGTCATCCAAGCTCGCTGACCATCAGATTCCTATCAGTAAAACCGCAAACATAGCGGAACACACTGAACATGCGCATTTCAAGGATTAAATAAATGCCTCTAAGATGACACAGGTCAATCAACTCGAGTCCCGCTCTCTTCTCTCCTTTTCATTCCCAGCCCTCCTGATCTCAATTCTTCTGTCTTCTCTATGTTCCTTGTTTAACATTTCACCCTGTCCCAGTATCTAACACAGTGCTGACAGTCTTGGAGAGACTCAGGTGATGAGCAATGAATCCAAATGCATCCCACCAAACACAGTCAAAGTCAATACCTTTTCTGGTTAACTCTCTCCTCTTGAAGCCTTGGCTCTGGTCAGCAATTCATCCCAGCTCAGTGTTGAGAAGCTCCGGTCTGCATCAGGTACTCGAGGAAACTTCGAGAGTGGCCGTGCCTGGGTCCTGGTCGCTGACGGTCTGGACAAAGACTTAGGGGAAGAGAGAGATGTCCAAGCAGATCTTTTCAGTGTTTTGTACATGTGACCCTCCTTCCTCCCACAGTGGGCATCCCTCCCTAGCATCTCTCTCTGCACCAGCCACTACGGGGGATGAGGGGTCCCCTTCGGAACACATAGCACCTCCCTCGAGTTGTTCACAGCTGTCCCAGAGGACAGGTATTAGTGAATTTGTCTTATCATTTCCCCCACATACATGCACACACACACAAGAAGGTGACAGCCACCTCGAGACATACTTCAGGTCACGCAGAACAGGTTGTGACCCTGGATGTGCCCCTCACCAGCCATGCGGACCTGAACACTTAATCGGCCAAGGGTTCACTCTCAGGGGCTACAAAATGGATTTCTTGCAAGTATTGGGAGGAGTAAAAAGAAAAGCAAACAGTGATGGTTTCCTTCTTTCCTTGCATATTTTTGCACCTCGTAGCCACATATCAAGTGCCAGGAACCTGTTCCAGCTCATCCTCCCTCACCCTGTAGGGTGCAAGCCCTGACTTGGAAAGACCCCCATGTGTGTAAACGGCGCTGACAGGCTGTCTGCCCACCATCCACAACGGGTGCCTGGGCCCCTCCTCTGCACCAGAGTCCTTTCAGTTACCAACGCGAGGGGCTGTCCTGGCTGCAGGGGGCTTCCCTTTGGACTGGCCCTCCACCAGGAGCTGCAATTCTGCCCCTGCTCCCCAGGCCGCCTCGCCTCCCATTCCCTTCCTCTGCCTCCCAACCAGACTCTGAGAATTGAGAACCTGAGAACTCCAGCTCAGGGTTTGTGCCGTATGTCACCCAGTATACCCAGTTCTGGAGCTCCAGCAGATGTGGGTGTGGGATCTACCTCCACCACCTACTAACTACATGACTGGTTCTCTCTCTCTCTCTCATTCATTCTGCCCTGGGCTCTGCTTGCTTCCTGTTCTATAAATAAAGGCGCTGCTGTGAACATTTTCATGGCCCTATCTTAATAAAGGACAATGTGCTATTTCTGCAATGGGAGCCCCTGGATGCCAACTCCCGCACGATGCACGCAGGCCACTGCACATGCGTCCCTGCCACTGGGGAGATGGAAATAAGGGAAAGGGGTTCCCCCCGGGGAAGGTCATGGAACCAACACAGTAGGACTTTGTCTTCTCAGGTCATTTCTCACAAACATCCTTGGCTCAGTTCTCTGCAGGGGGAGAGAAGGAAAGTGAGGCAACACCAGGGCCAGACATGATGCCACACTCACGGCCCCACAGAGCCAGGGACTGAAGCTCAGCCATAACAGTAAGCTTCCTGATGGTTCCTGCCCTGCTGCCTTCTCCTCACTGATTCCCAAAGAAGCTGGGGCCAGGCATCCAAGCCAAACCCTGATTCCTCTGTGCATGTCCGCTGCACCTCCTGCCACTTCCCCTGCTGTCCCCACTTCCAAAGGGCCAGAGTCTCTGTTTTCTCAGCCTTCAAGAGAAAGTCTGGAATTTCCTCCCAGACTCTGAAATTGGGAAAGTCCCAGCTGTGTTTGTCATCCCTAAAAGGCAGAATCATCCCCATGAATAAGCCTGTCCTTTGAACCTGAAGGCAGATCACTGCTTTGGCCTTTTTCCAGCCCAACTTGTGGAGCTGCCCAGTGGCCGGAGGTGAGGCCACCCAGCCACACTGTCCCTCCTCCCAGCTGCCATTCAGGCCCCCCAGTCTCTTGGGGTTTCTCCCCACCCAGAGAGGTGGATGAAGCCATTGCAGGTACTCGGCTGGTCTGGATCCTTGTTAGAATGAGAGGGAGGCCAGAGGGACCTCAGTGCATGAGCATCACGTTCACAGCCTTGGGTGCCATGCCCCTGGGGGGCGGGGGGAGTAGCTTCACAGAAGTAAGTTAAGATGCATAAAAGTGGGTGCAGAGCAGGTCTGAGGAGTGGGGGTTGACCGTGAACTTACACTTATTAGAGGCTGCAGCCTCACCTTCCCCACAGTTCAGCTATTCTCCAGAGGGATGGCAGGCCACGTGGGAACCAGGCCGGTCAACACCCCCAACTTGGAGGCAGAAGATGTGGCCCGCCCGCCTCCTGGCTCTACCTCTCCCCAGCTGTGCAATCTTTATCAGTGCTTAACCTCTCTGGGCCTCCATTTGTTCCTGTGTTAATTAGTAATGATTAAACGATGAGGTTTAAAGGAGCGAATGTTTGTCCTATCCTCACCTCTGTGCCTGGTGAGTGGGGTCCCATTGGCGTGCACTGGCGTCTCCCCTCCTGATGCTGGACGCGGACCCGCCTTCTATCCACCGCACTCTGCGGCCCTCCTTCACCTCCCCTGCCCCACCATCAGCACATCTCATGTGGTTTTTCTGGGAAGTTTCCCTTTTCCTTTGTGAAATGCACAGCAAATAGGGGCTGTTCTGTCCCTTATAAGAGGAAGTCCTCCAGCCCCGGGGCCTTTCCCCAAGGCTCACATGAGGACCTCTACCCAGCCACCCAGAGGGCCTTTGGCAAGGCTTTTCTTTCCCCAATTCCCCTCCTAGGGGCACAACAGCCAGCTCCCCCCACCCTGACCTCCCAGAGTCCACCTGGAGCCACAGCTGGGCAGATCGGAAGTGAGCCAGTCTCTCTTGGGGCTTCCCCATCACCCATTATCACCACCTCGGCTCTCCAAGAACACCCTGCCCTCAGCCCACTTGTCCCCACACTCTGCTTGGCCATTCGCCCTGGTGAGGCCTAGGTCAGCTGGCTCTAGCCCAAGTGCCCTCACCAAGATGTGTAGGTCCTCAGTAGGCCTCACTGTCAGGGCATCAGCTCTGTAAGCCTCATGCTGTGTTCATGGGTGACAGTCAATCTGCTAACTAGCCCGGGCGAGACCCGTGTCAGGCATGACCCCCTAATCCACTGTTCCCCTAGACCAGGGCATCCAACAGCAGTGAATCTCTAGTAGGGAAGGACATTCACTTTTCAGCTGTCTTTTCATTTGGTTGATCTAATCAAGAAGAAAGCCTCAGCACTTACCAGTGTCCTCCCCCTTCTCTCTGCCCATCTCTCTCTCTTCAACAAGAGTAAGCTCAGAGCTCAGAGCTCCGAGCATAAGCAAGCAACTGCATCCAGTTCCAACTGAAAAACGATGCTTATTTTGATTGCATGTATAGCAAGCAATATTGGTTTCACATTTATAGCAGTTATAAAATGTTTCCTTTCAAAACACATCTATTTAAGTAAAAAAAAAAAAAAGAATCATTTTAAAGAAAACGACTAGGTATGTCAGAGAACAGTGTTACAAAGACTTGTGAAAAATCACAAAGGTAGAATACCAAAACTGGCACCCTAACAAGGAGAATTCTAGGCCCTTGGGACCCACTGGTGGATGAGGTACTTGGATCCCAGAGTTTGATTATGAGCACACGAATTTCAGCTGCAACAGTATCATGTACCCTTAGGATGAATGCCATCTTTTTTCTTCTATTCATTCATGTAGGGATGTTAAAAAAAAAAAAATACCCCAAAAAGCCAAAGACTAAGACCAAATTTTTCTGAACAGGGGCTCTCATCCAGCACCAAGTCTGGGCTCCAGGAGGTGAAGCTGGGGAGAGGGAGATGGGGAGGGCAGGCCAAATCTCCAGAGGTACAAGTGGGCTGGTGAGGTCCGGGTTCACCGGGCAGGTGAGACCGGCACGAGCTGAAGGCAGGCCAAGGTGCACATGGGCCTCTGGGTTACTGCAGCAAAGTCACTTCAGGTGCACATGTGACATGTCTAAGTCAGGATGATGGGCCCAGACAGGTCTGCACAGTGTCAGACAGCTAGATAGTGAGGCCACAGACTGTCAGTTATCAAGATAGTGCCATAGGAAGACCACACAAGTAGGAGTCAGAAACCCGAGATTCTAATTTCAGTTCTGATTTCAGCTGATTGTATGACCTTGATCAAGTTGCTTACCTCCTCAGACCAGTTTTTTCATCTGCCAAGAGAATTAGAGGTGACTTTCACCAAGGCAGGGAGTACCTCTGTCTAATGAGTCAATATAGAGCCAGTATCTATCCCATGGGATGTTCTGATATTTTTATGAATTAAGATGTAAAGCTTCCAGTGGAAATATCCCATCTCTTCTAATTCCCTTGGAAATGGTAGGCCTGCTGGTAACTGTCATTCCCTCTACCGCACTTTTCTGCAATGAGGATGAATCCATGGCAGGGCAGCAATGAGGAAGTTGAGGAGCTCGGTGGCTCTCTCTGGATTCCAAGACACTTAAAATGTGGCAAGCACATGGATCCCAGTTCCCGGGGCCAGCAATACACCTGTGAGCAGGGCTAGTTCTGCAAGCTCCAGCCTTCAGTTTGCCCTGGAGTGGAAAGAGCAGAATGATCCTCAACTGAAACCCTGGCCATGGAGCAGAGAGAGAAAAATTCTGGCTAGCAAAGGGGAAAGGTCAAATAGCTTGTTATTTCCCTCTTGAAAACTGTCCAAGGACCTATGTTGCAGCAAAAAGCCACAAGAAAGCATGTGACTTTCCCAGTTACAATGATTAACAGCTGCTCCTTCTTTTTGCCACATCTGTGGGCTTGAAAGTAACCCTTTTGTTCTCCAGAAAATCATAGACACATTTCTTCCTCTGAGCTCCAGACACCCTCAAGGGTGGACCAAGTTGGCTGCACTTTGCAAGCTGCTTTGGTGCAAGGAAGATAAATAAGTTTCTCTCTTTGGAATTTCCCTTGTGTTCATTCAGTAGAACATTATTAAGCACTGTCTTGGTCCAGGCATTATCTATGTCTTAGGGAACCAGGAGCCCCTAGATAAATGGGGGGGAAGAGGCAAGACCAATAGAATAGATAAATGCTTGTTCGGGGCGAACATTGATGCTGTAGAAATGTAGAATAAGGGCATCTTTTCTAGCCTTGGCTTCCAGGAGTAAAGGGTCTCTGCGCTGGGTTTTGCAGGATGAGTAGAAGTTGGCCGGCGAAGAAGGGTAAGATCCTCCAGAAAAAGGAAACGGCTTGTGCAAAGACCCAGAAGTGTGATCTTGGTGG